TATGCTCTGGTGTAGGTTGAAAAGAGAGGAGTCTATGTACACGCTGCCATTCCAAAAGGAAGTGTTACACAAATAAATGCAGTTGTAAAAGCAAGGGCCTCTTATGCAATTCAAAGTGTCATAATAGTTTAAGTGTTGCAATAAATAAGATTTGAATCACATAATTTCGTAAGTTTATAACTTCTATTATTTTCCTTTCTCAATTTGAATGTACTGTGTGTTTTAAGTTCTTATATTCTTAAGTTCTTATTCTGAGTCTCCAGTGCGTTTTTTCGCGAATGAATTACGGAGAAGGAAATATAATATTTTTATATGATCAACATTATTCTTATATGTTCAACATTCACCATTAGTACATGGTGAATGTCGACATTGACCGGTGTAAGTCAGAAATAAGAGTATTTGGAAAATATTTCGGACATACACCAAGCGACTATGTGAATGTTGACATTCACCGGTGAAAGTCGACATTCTCCAGATTTCGGTGTTTCACCGTAACATACGTATATATGTAATCAAATTCGCGACGACACACGGTGTTTATTTCTTGTGTTTATTTTTTAGATTTTACACAGTGTTTATTCTTTAGATCTTACAGTTCTGAATCGATCTGTTCTGAATCAGAAACTCTATTGAAGTGCCTTGGCGACTATTTACGTCGCTAGCTTCTCAAAATTTGGCGAGCTTTTTGGCATAATAATGTTACGAGTTTTGTATTTAATTTGCTAATTTTAATAGAATTGCTGTTAAATTGTTTTATATCTCGTGCAATACAGCACGAGACTTATCTAAAGGAAAAGCTACGCCGAAAAAATTTTAAAAAAGGGAGAAGACGGATTTAATAAATATATATCTCGTAATTGTACTATTTTGCTTTCCGGAAAAAACCGAGAAAATACCAGAATATTCTTGTGCTTTATTTAAAAAGCTTATAAAAGCTGGAGGAAAACATCTCAGTCCAATTGTTGTTTGGATAACTGTTGTTCAGCACTTTTTTACTTATTTTCTTGTTGTTGATTGTAGCGAAATCGCGGTGAGATCGGATTAGCGTACGAATATCTCTGAAGAAATTTCACCATTTTGTTTTATTTATTGTGATAAGAATAAATTTTACTCACTTTTCATCGGACTTGAAAATTCAATTTATTACGAACCCGTACGCACGCAACAATAAGTTTGCCAGTTCGGTGACATTTTGGAAATTTTACAAAACGCATTTTTAAGCCGTAGGAACGATTTTTTAAGAAGCTTCCAAACGGCCGGGCAACCCTGTATAAATACGGCTTCGAGATTCAAGGAGTGTTCAAAATAAATAGCTGCATGAATTGTCTATAGCTGAGGAATGTTTTATAATGGGACACACCGATTTGCTCATTCTAATTTTATGCAAACGGGAAGAAATCAGAATCGAATTTTAATAAAATGCAGTATTTTTACTTCCTTCTATGAAGTAAAGGAAGAATTGTTATAACGAATTTGCATAGGTTAGTCAATTAATTGTAGCATGAAATATTTGTTAATAGACTGAAAGCTTTAACTATCGCTGCTAGCAGCACATCTATGTTTTCGGTAATAGCAGTTATACTACATTTCAGTTTCCTTAAATGAAGTTATTTTATGCATAATTTGTAAATACGAAATAAATTTCTTTGATAGAAAACATTGATGTCATCTTACCAAATCAAATCATTCTTTATTAATAAACTTGAAAAAAAATCACTTAATCAATCTATCAGCCGACCGAAAAATGTTTTTCAACTTGTAAATTCCTCATAAAATGACGTGAATATTATTTTCTGATAAAAGTTCTTCTGTATTTAAAACCGCAGAAGTAATTTTGAATAAACGCAATCAAAAATATAATACCTGCCTATTCTGAGAGCTTTTGTACAAGAAAACATCACTGCCCGTTTCAAACCTCTTGATTTTTCTAACATTACTACTTAAATATGGTAAACTAGATTGCATTTTTTGACCTTTTTGTCAGATGTAGTTATATTTCAAATTATTAAAAAGCTTGCAAACATAGAAATGTTTTTATATTTGATTTGAAATTTATTTTTAAATTAAAAGCCATATAATTATAAGGTGTACTCAAGATTTTATGTAAATTTTCATGTCACTTCTAAATTTCAGTATTTTTACATACTGAGTAGAAGGTAGCCTCATATATATATATTTAAATTTGAGATTTTATCATTGCTTTTTTATCTAAATTCACATTTTTCAAATGAAGAAAATCAGTAAAATTATATGTTGTTTTCTGCAAAAAGAGTTGTGTGAAACATTTTTTTTTTTTTTTTTTTTGGTATAATATATCAAGTGAACATTAGTTTTTTGCCTAATTTGTAGATTTACATGAATGATATGTATACATCTTTTTACGTTAGAAAAGTAATAAAGAAGTTTAACAAGGCATAAAAGCCATAAATAAATTAAATCTAGTTAGCATATAATGATTTAAAATGAAAAAACGAAGTATACGACTTGATAATCCCTCTTTCCGCTTCAAGTTTATAAAAAAATTTTTCATTTTCGTCCTTTTAAACATTTTTAAAAAGCAGTCTTTTATAAATAATCCTGAAAGACAATGTTTGATTGACAATATTTTTTGCATTTTCGAAATTCCTTTAAAGTTAAGAAATTTTTAACAAACTAAAAAACTGTTCTTTACAAAAGCTTTGAAAACCATTTTTAAAATTACAATAAAATCCCGTGATCAACAAAGCTTTTACTAACGCAGAAAGTGCAGTGAACCTTTTATCAAGATTAATCTATAGAAGAGACACGTGTAAAAAATCGTACGTGTTTCGAAAGTTGCTTGATTTGTTTTCTTTCAACCGTAAATAGAATATTTCTTTACACGTGAATGTTATAAAACGGAGAGCCCTAATATCTTCAAACATTACCTATTTTAAAAACTGAATTTAACTATATTTTGTATACAATTTTCCTATTATCTCTCTCATTATGTATTGTCAATAATCAAGTATGATGTCCCTCATTATACTTGATTCTAATCAGTATTACGGGTGAATGAAATAATCATGCGATATTTTAAAATTTATCACCGTAATAAAAAAATTATTTTAAAAAATCCGAAAGCTTTCAGATTTTTTATTACGCACAAAGCGGCTTTTTTTTTTTTTTTTTTTTTAACGTTTTGTGTTTTGCCTTTATTTCTTAAATATCATGTTCTTAGCTCTTAAACCAGAAACTTCAACTCAACAGCTATATCACAGAATAATTTAAAAAGAGTATATCTTTAGAATTTCTAATACACAGTCTCGCGCGCTGAAGATAAAAACTTTTTTTTTTCGTATAGTGTTGGTCGCTTTGAAATCGTTAAGTTTGTTAATCAAAAATTCGTTTTGATTAACAAACTCAACGTTTACAGTTTTACAAAATATGAAATAGATAATAAAACAAATTCCAATTTTGGGCTTGCAAGATGCCCGTATTCGAGTGGAAGACTATGTTATTCAAACTTTGTTGTCTCTACGTACCGTTGTTTTTCACAGTGCGAAAAAGACATATATTCATGCATATTCTTCCTTATTTAATTTTTTTAAATATAATATTGGGCAAATTGCCCCTTTGGGATAAAAATTAAATTATATGTTTGGCAAGGATTTTCTTATATTTGTGCCTGTCTGTCATTTAGATTTTTTATTCAGTTTGAAAAGTCGCTAAGTTATATCGATGCTGAAACGTGAAAAATGTGCAGTGCCCTCACTGAACTTCTCCCCCCCCCCGGATTTACGTCGAGCGTGCTTCTAGTGACTTTACGAAGGTATTGGAATGGAGGGAGAAACTACTTTACTTACTCCCCTTTTAAAGGGTGACTGGGGATGACGGGATCCAGTCGCCAAATCCTGGTGGTGACGAATTACTGTCCATCACCTTTTTAGTTCGGGCGCCACTGTAGAGTCATTAAGAATTTTTTAATGTCAGGAAACTGAAGAAATCTGCAATGGGCTTGCCGAGATTCGAACTCCGTACCTCCCGAACACGCGTTTAATGTGCTTCCAGTTACACCACGAAGGCATGCGGAAAGGTGAGAGAAAATACCTTATAAGTTGATAAGCTCAAATGGTTTTGAAACATCCTCAAAATTAATTATGATTTAAAAGGAACTAAAAATTCTTTACGTTTTTGACATAGTTTTTGTTTATACCTATTATTTGTTTATACAATTATGACGAAGAAATAGAATCTAGTAATATAAACATATATTATGGCATAACGTTCTAAATTTTAGGAACGGGAATAATCCCAAATTATACTCGTATTTTTGTAGTTATGTAACTTTTGACAATAAATTGCAGAATTACTGATATTATTCTGCAAATATTATCGACAAAATAAAGTTGTACCTGTGGAATCGTAACTAAATATTTCCTCTCATGCCGAACATACAGATATTTATTTGTGTGATATTAGTAAAGATGTGCCCATTTGTCAAGACTGGTAATCTAAGGATTCTAGTTCCCTCTGTCATGAGTTTCAACATGATAGAGTTAATATTACGTTTTGCTGAAAATTATTCTTAAAGACATAGGTTTTTAAAAAGACGTGCTATATAAATTTACATAGAATAATAACAAATATTAGAAACAAGAAATGGCGCAATGCATGTGAAATTGGACGTATTTCGAAGCTCTTCTTCGAGCTCCAGCAGGAGATTAATTACTAGAGCGCATTGGAAAGCAAAATCATAGAAAATGAAACCTTCTGTAATAACGTATAATGAATAAGAAAGAAGCACCGAACGCCATCTGTTAGCGAAAAAGGAAGAGAAGAAACAGTTTAAGAAGTCAAATGCTTAGAATAAATAAAAAAGGCCTCAATTTTTATTTAAGTCTTTCTGTTTTGTTTACTTCGTTTATTTCCTTTTGTTATTCTGAAGCTTAACTATGCTACCAAAGAAATTTTCTCTGTTATTCTTAATATCTTAGAGAAAAATAAACTATACTTTATTGTTTTCAAAAATTGTATACCTGATAAGTCCGATTTTAGGTCGATGAAGCAACAACCACCTGTAAGCTACCTTTTCTTTCCAACCGGCATTCTTCGGGTCTCTCCACAATAGTCTGACCTAGAAATATAATTAGGCAAATTATTAGCTTGATACATTAATTATATTTCTGTTATTTAAATGAATTTAATTAAGCATATACAGGATATATAATCTCACACAAAGTAAAAAAAACAATGCAGTGTTTTAAAAGAGAATGTGATATTGCCAAGAATAATCGTTTCTAATTTTGATATTCAAAGAGATAATAATATATTCTTTACTGATAACAACTTAAGATTAATCTATCGTTAAAGTGTTAAATGTACATGTGCATAAATATTTTCTCATTTCTTGTTGCTGCAGCTTAACGCTTTAAATATTCTCAAAATATTTGCTCAACTATATGAAAAAAAAAAAATGGAAGTACTGAAATTATCTAGAAAATTGAAATGTGTAACTCTCTTTTAAATTTAAAACGCCAGCCTCATTCAAAGGATATTCAAGGTGAGCTGTAAATGTTTAGTACCTTACCTATTGCTAACAATATATAACTCTTATTGTTTGCACAAAATCTTCATCTCAAATGTGTACCTGTGATTTTAGATGAATATCTGCAAGTACCACGTAATTATTTCCGCTGCTACTCCATTCATAGACGTAAAAAGCCAACAGCAACACAAAAGAGCTAATAAGAAATAGCATTAAATTAAATATGTTTAAGTTAGAATACAGCGCCATCTATTGTGCAAAGAGAGAAATTCTCACTTATCCATCAGGGAGATTCGGCTAAACAACATGACAAAGCGCGTACTAGTACGGAATGTAGTAATTACCGTTAATAAACTTGTTAGTTCTCTTTTTATATAGTGCACTTATTAGTTTATAATTATAGAAACGTAGTACAATATATTTAGAATGAGAAAGATACAGATGTAATTTTTATGCAGTCACTCAAAATATGTTTAAAGTTGGTCGTAGTATTCTTTAGCGAAATAAACAGTTCTCAAGCAATACTGCTTCATGTAAATAGTCCAAGAACAGCTTAGAGGATGTTATAATAGAAAATTTTCGGCATTTCCATTCAATTTTGTTTGCAAAAGAAAGCAAAAACATGGCTGAATTTTATTGATTTTTTAATTTATTTTGAAACAGTTCATAGATTTTTCACTTTCTTTACGAGCATAAACTAAATCAAAACCCTGAACAGACGCAGCGAGAATTATCGCTGTATCGGAAAGTCTTTGTCGGAATGTCAGAAGTCTTAAAAAGGTTTTAAAATAACCCGAACATATGACAGACTTTTCGTGACTGACAAGATCAACAACCACCACGTGTGGCGATGCAACTTAAAGTGATAGTCCAATTCAAATTAAAACATAACTTAGTAGTCAAGGTCTACACACTTTAATTTAAACTAAGTTGTTTCAGAACTTCTCACCAGCGTAACAATTTTAATGCAAAGCCGAATAATTTCATTCTTATAAGAACTGAAGAAACCTAGTAACGTAGCTTAGACAGGCAAAAATATGCTCCATCTTATAATCCGAAAACCTCAGCTTAAATACAAGGTTTTGGTGACAAAACGAAAACAGAGAAGTTATAGTAGAGATGTAAATCGTAATAACTAGTTAATTAAATTAATAATAACCCTATAAATTAATCTTTGTATTTTACTCGCAGTTTTAGAAATTTTCTTCAGCTTCGAGATGCAATTTCCTCTAGCACTGTTTTTCTCAAACCGACAAAATTTTGATTAATTTTGTTTAATATCACTTATAAGTACTTGATGAAAGAAAAGAACACCAAGCACATTATCAAGCATTTGTAAAACTGCTGTTGGATAATGCACAATATCTCAAAGCTAAGGGTGAATCTTCGGATTATAATAACTTGGCGATTTTTTGGCGAAACTTTGGCGACCAATCCTGCTACAGTAACCTGCTAGTTTTTTTTTTTTTTTTTTTTTTTTTTTTTTTTTTGACGTTATTTTGTTTTCACGAAGTAAAGGCATGTTTTTTTTTAATTATTATTTTTTTACTCAACATTTTTTCCAACAATCTGCTAGCCGAATTACGTTTATGCTAGAACTTTTATGGAACAAAAGTGCTTAATCATGAGAAGATTAGGTGCGAAATTGGGAGAAAGTGCAGAATCGCCCACTGCTTGCCACGTTTTTAAGAATTGCACATACACGGTATCCATATACACGTCGACCTATTTTCACTTAAAAAAGAAACACCCCAGAATTGCACAAAAATGGCATTGCGCACACTCTTGACTTTATCCACGTACACATCGATCTATTTCACTTAAAAAGGTCAAAGAAAATTGACAAAAATCCAATTCTTCTTACTCTTGTAAAAAGCGCCAAACAAATAAGTCGGCAATTCTGCACTTTAGCAGCGAAATTGTTTCGAAGTGCTTATTAGCTAAAATCACGATCGGAATTTTCCGTAAAATGTCACATTACATGTCTCATGATCTCTCATTTCTCTGAGACAAAATAATCTGTGATTCGAACTGTGTACTTCTCAGATTATTGCTAAAGTCCTAGCTAGTAACCTTTATCGTCTTACCAAAATGTCACCAAACTACCTGTTACCATAGTTCAGAATAAGGGAATAAGATAGTTCAGAATAAGGGATGTCAAATAGAACATTTAAAACACAAGAATTTTATGTAGTTTAGTTTTGTGAATACAATATACATCGTCCAAAAATGTGTGAACAGCCTCTGTATACATAAAGTGGTAATCATCTTCAATATTATTGCGCTCTTACTGCTTTAGTGTTAAATATTCAGAGAAAAGGAGTGTACTCATTATGAAAAACTCTTTTGTCTGAGGTATACACTTAAGCGATTCTTAAATGATTGTCTCTAACTCACTGGCCAGTTTCGCTAAGTTGTCATGAAGAACGTTGGTAATTAGTTTAAAATGGTATTTAACTTATATTATCTCTACCTTTTAGTATGTCTTCTAGAAGAGTATACGCATACCTGATTGGCCGTGTCTCCAGTGTGCCATAGAGCGTTTCTCATCATTTGTCCAGGACCTGTTGCTGACGTTACAAGTTTCAGTTGAATGCCTGGCTCCGCCACTGCCCTGAAAGGCGTCGCTTGCCAATAAGTCTGAGTCTTTTTCTTCCACATAACAGTGTAAAAATTAGAATTGTCTTGATAGCTAAATCAAAAAAATCATGTCAATATTAAAACATATGAATCTATTTATCCCATTAGAAAATAAAAGAATAAGCATTACAATATAAAGTTTCCAGTGTTACAGCCCGAGTTCTATTTCCTTTTTGGATAGATTTCCTAAAGATATATTTTTGTTCTTCCAAACTCAAAGATACAAAATATTCGATATTTTATGCATAATATCGATATTTCATACGTATTAGTACATGTATATTTATACGTTAAGTAATGCTAATTAGTCGTCTTAAATAATTTAAAGATTCATTAATTTTATTTTGTCGAGGAATAACTGTTTCATTATTTCCGAACAGAGGGAAAAAAAGATAAAATCGTAATTAATATCCGTATTCATCTTCGTGCTTGATCTGAAACAATTTTGAAGTAAATATTTACAACAACTCATTAGTTTAATCATATATTTAATTAATATTCAGAAGCTTAGTCTTGTGAAATTAATCCATAATTGTCCCCATATTTAATAATAATTTAGGCATAATTATTCAGGATGAAGTTTTACATTTATTTTTTACTGGATGACCTAAGCATGTAACTTGCAACGAATATTTTCCGTACATAAAAAGACATTCTACTTTTCCAAAACAAAAAATTCATGTTGTGAAAATAATAGTTCCTGATTTCAGGCGTAAAAAAATATGTTTATAAGAGTTTTAAACCGCATGGAAGATAATTGTGCATGTTTTCTACGAGCAATTTGAGACAGTTTTCCTTGGAAAGTCCTCCACTAAGGCATCCTTCCCCTGAAACACATAGCCCTCGTGTGTTTTGCCATATTCTAGTAACATAACCAAACCTACGTGCATTTTACGTCTTGCCACATAGGGCATTTTGCAAAAGGCTAAATATCGTCATTTTTTATTAAATGGCGCTTTAATTAAGAAAACGATGTATTATGGTATGAAACCGTTTGAAACAGTAACAATTACGATGTACCAATTCAGAAGTCAAACAACAAAATTCAGCGTTATATTTACAAAATTTTCACAGAACTAGTTTAGATGGTTTTACCGAACCACCATCCTCAGCTGCAAAACTGCAAATGAACAAGATAGGAAATAATGATTATATAAGCTAAGAAAGCCTGGGCAAGAATAAGAAAGTGGCGCCATCTATTGGTGAAACCAGAATTACAACATAATTTCTTTAAAGGCCGAAGGCAAACAATTTTTGTTGTTTGACTTCTGAATTGGTATTTATTCGGCGTGTTGTTGTGTCTTAATTACGATGTACTCTACATTGAAATTTAAATAAATCAGACCACAAAATAAACTTGTTACGATTATTTCTGACCCAATATATCCCACCTAACTAATCAACTTAAATTATGCTTAACTTTTTCTCTTTGAATTTTTAAAATGCAAATGACATTCTTCTCAAACAGTAATATTCTTGTCTTTGTTGATATCTAAGCATAATTCTAGAGAACTCTTTTCACGATTCCTCTTTATTTCAACGAGTAGTACAATTTGTTTGTTAAACTTCTTTTACATTAGTAAGATTACACGTTTGCTGACATGGCCGAAACCGACTTTAAGTAAATCATTACTGTCTGCTTAAGTTGATACATTTTTCTGTCCGCCTAGTATGGCATCATATAATTTTACATTGCATACTTCTAATATAAGTTTTAGACCAAATATTATTTGGCTTTTTACTTCCTTGCACGAATTAAAGGAAGAACTACAATCGCGAAAAATTTCAGGTATACCATAGTTCAACGAAAACATTCACTTTGACCACTCTCGAACCCATTTCAACGATTTTTTTGCCTGATATTTGTATTTATGAGTAGAATAAAGGGCTCGTTTTTCTAAAAAGGATTGTGAAATAGATATAAATGGATTCAGATGGGATTTTCGTGATATCTGTGAGTACGTACGTCTATATATATCTAGCATAACTCAAAACCTATTAGCCGTAAGAATGTTGAAATTTTGAATATGACACAGCTATAACGTCTAGCCGTGCACTTCTTTTTATTTATTTATTTATTTTTTGGTTAAAATTGGCAACATCAAAAGTGTATATATATATCTATATATATATAGATATATACACTTTTGATGTATACACTTTGTGTATATATATATATGTGTATATGTATATATTACACTTGTGTATATGTATATATATACACTTTGTGTATATTTGTGTATTATATATTAGATATACACTTATATATATATATATATATCCACCCTCTTACCCGACTTGGTGAGCTCTGTTTTACTTTATTCTTATTTTTTTAATTCTTATATGTTGGACAATTGCGTATTTTTTGCTTTAAAAGTCATTGAAATGTATTGTTCTTATAATTCAGTTAAAGTTTTTATGCCTTTAGTTAATCTACGTACAATAGTTATAAGATTACCAACAATTTAAATGTTTTAATATGTGCTAGGCCTAATGAGGCCGCCATTTGTTTATATTTGAAACTCTTAGTAGGCTAATGAATTAAGTTAGGTGGTGCATCAACTTAAGTGTCTTTTCACACAGTGGGGACAAAAATTAACTTTCAATTCTGTGCACCGAAATGTTTTGGTTTCATATTGGTTGAACTGTTCGCTTTTGCGTACAAGCTGTAATTTTGCTTGCAAAAAAAAACATTTTTTGATTTGTTTTTAACTGCATTTGATGTTTTATGTTTTTCAATATTTCTCAATGCCACACTGATAAGTTGAGTTTAAGCCAAGTAGGTAGATTTTAAGTGAGACGAATTTAAGTTGATGTACTAAAAGGTATTTCTCCCGCCTTCTTGGCATGCCTTCGTGGTGTGGTGGTCTGCATGGTGGGCGCGTGTCCAGGACGGTTATTCTACGTTACGAGAGTCGACAGCAAGTTGTGGGCCGCCAGATGTCGCTGCTAGTAAAAAACAGGTCTGCCCGACATCCTATATTCTCTGAGTACAGAAGTTGTCGAAAGCGCGTGAAAAAGTGTTGCCGCGTCGTCAATCAGGGTTGTGCAGTTGATGTACTAAGTAGACAATGGCTTTGTATGTGTTTTCGCCGCTGATTTTTTCATATTTAAACGAAGAATACGGTCGTAGATCTCTGAATCGGTTGCGAATTTATAGAAAATATGTTGATGCTTTTGCTCTGCCTAAAGATGTTTTCATTGCGTATTTCAGATTGCCAAAATTTATAGTTATTTTAATTTGCGATGAACTGAGAGAGTATTTGGAGCCACAATTCAGAAAACAAGAAACGCAATTTCTACTGAAAGAAAAGTTATTTATACTATTCCTAAAATTATAGATATAAATATGTAATTGTATGCTTTAAAAATGTAGAAGATAAATAAGTTTATCAAGCACATAAACCTTCTTTTCATTTAATACAATATATAGACATCCGATAAGCTTCTACTCGATTTATGTACAGCAAAAATTACGTTTACTTTAAAATCTAACAGTTGAATACCTTACGAGTAATACCGTGAACAGAAAAAGGAAATCGTTCCTTATTACGCGAAATTCACACTACTGTAACACAAAATTAATATATATATATATATATATATATATATATGTAACTATAAAATGGCTTTTATAATATTTTTTCAGTAGCCGTACTACTACTAGTGTGATACTTTTAAAAATAAATTTTAGCCTATTAATGCCTATTAATTCCTTTTTGCCTAGAGTGCCTATTAATTCCTTTTTGCCATTTTGTGGCTTTTCACAATAAATGGAGTTTCACTTTTCAAATTGTTGCCACCACGTATTATCGCACTCTATTATATTTAAAGAAATTAAATAATGAGGAATCTGCAGAATGTATGAATGTTTCTCGCACTGTGATAAAACAACGGTACCTAGAGCCATGAAATTCTGAATAACGTAATCCTCCATCCTAATACAGGCATCTGGAGGCCCAAATTTGAAACTGAGAATTTGTTTTATTATCTATTTCATATTTTGTAAAGCATTTATGAGTTTTTGATTAAGAAACCCAACGATTTCAAAGCGAGCAATGGCAACATTGTACGGAAAAAAACATTTTCATCTCTAGCGCTTGAGACTATGTATCGGAACTTCTAAAGATATGCTTTTTTTAAATTATATGATATTGCTGTTGAATTGAATTTTATGGTTTAAGTGAGAAAAACATGATATTTAATAAATAAAGGTAACACGCAAAACGTTAAAAAAAATGGCCCTTTAGAAGTAATATAAAATTTAAAGGCTTTCAGATTTATATATATATATATATATATATATTTTGTGTGTGTGTGCGTGTGTGTGTAATTTTATTATGTTTTAAAACTAGTTTCTAAGTGAGGTCTTTCTAAGGAAAGCTGGCTCGTATACACGTTACACATGGGGAAAGCCACGAAAACGCCGACCAGCTCGTTCGCGGGATTCGAACCTCGGACCAAACTGCCTGCGTTCAGCGACTCTACCGCTCGGCGGCTGGTAGGCTTGTTAGCAGAATTATACTGCATTATTATTGTATTATGCTATAAGACTAGTAACAATGCTATAAGACTGAGGGTTTGTTCATGGAATAGTACTTTTGTAACCTATTATAGTGTTAAAAAAACCATTGTTTCTTTGCAAACTTAAATAGCATTCTCATTTTTATATTGTAAAAAAGATATTGATTATTATTAGTTTTCTATTTAAAATGTGTCGAAACGCTGGTTTGACAAGGACTTCAACTGCAGGAGACTTTAGTACTTGCATTGTGAAAATATTACTATCTTTTAATTATTTTCACCGAATAAAATCTTTTGAGAAGGAAGAATATTTAAACCGAGCAGTTCTTATATATATAAAAAATTAAAATAACAGCAATGTAATATTAAAAAAAAGGTATTAATAATTCTGTGACAAAAATTGCAAAACGAATTAATCACACATACAGGATAGATCAGTTTAATTTTGGTTATATATTTTATATTGAAAAAATATTTCTTTCGTGTTAATTATAGAATAAATTAATTTAAATAAAGCATTTTGATGGT